GCGCTTCGCGGCCGAGGGCGACACGACCTAAGCGGCCACACGAAAGACGACACCCGGCGCCCATGAACAGGAGGGAGGTTGGTTTGCAGAGACGTCCAAACTGATCATTTTGGAGGTGATCGCCATAGATTTATCGTAAATAATAAACATTTGTAATTACATTGTATATTATTTTTGTATAGTATAGATACGCGTACACCATACAATATTATTTTTTTTACAATAATTACACAATTCTAAAATAAAAATTTAAATCAATTTTGCCAAATAAAAGAAGGTAAAAAGCGAATACTGTAAGCCTTGGGGTGGGGATGACTAAGGTGTTAACCCCCTTCCTCCGGATCCGCCATTGGCTGCAGATGGTCACTCCGAAATGGTATGCAATAAACGAGTGAACAAAACTCTTTATGAAAGTAAATATATTACACCTCGCAAAGCAGTACTATGCCGCTGGTATTTCCGAATGTATTTCTAATAGATCAGCTCTATAATTGATATTTCTGGAATACTTGTTTGGGAATCTAGAACTTGTAAAGATGAGAGATTTCCTAACAGAAATCGGTGCATCGCTTGCGGCCAGTAGGCGGCTTGGTAGGTTAGCAGTGACGAGCTTTTTTTAACCAAGCCCCCCTAGACGCATAACAGCATGGGACCCTGCCCTTTGATAATTGAACTAAAAATATAAAGCTTTCAAAGCATATTTGTAAAATAATGAACTTTAGTAAAGCTATCAATATAATTACTGAAATTTAACTTCATTGGTTAAATAAATTTATTTCCTCCCAAGTATGATTTGATACCAGTTAAAGTATATTGGAAAGTTATACTGTAATATAGTTTTTGCAAATTATCATTATTTTTGTAATCACACTTAATGTAATGCAATACTTGTAATAGTCGCTAGTAACCAAGTCATTGATACATCTGTAAATAAATTCAATTAAAAAAATAACTAAATAATATTAAATAATTACTCGTATTTATTATTATTATTATTATTATTATTATTATTATTATTATTGTTATTATTATTTTAACGTCTGAATACAATATATTGAAACTGCTGTATTTCTTTTCAAAATTGTGTTTAAACAGGTTTTAAATTTTACTGGTGCCCTGTTTGAGTTTGGGGTCCTATCTAAGCTGCCTAGTCCGTCCTTGCTCCCGCACGGGTTGGATGGAACCAACCATATCGACAGGTGTGCGGGGAGGCAGGCAGGCCCATCCTCACTCATCTCCCGTGTGTGTCAGTCGTGTGACGTGACGTGACGACGGCACAAAGCGCTGTGTTACTTTAGAGCAGCTCGGGCAACATGTAGTGCGAGGAGGTAGCCGGTGGAGCGCTAGGCGCGGGTTGTGCTCCTGGCGTGTGCTGCGGCCCGCGCACATCTGCGGGAGGAGCGCGAGCTCGTGCGAGGCAGATGGCACGCGCCCGTCCTCTCTCTCTCTCTGTGTGTGTGTGTGTTTTTTGTTGTTGTTGTTGTTGTTGTTGTTTGTTTGTTTGGAATTCGGATGTTTTCAAAACGTGTTTGACCGATCGATCATCGATGTTTTAATGATCGACGTTGTTTCTTTTACCATGTTTTGTTTCAGAATGAAAAATTCCCACGATCACAATACTTACTGTAAAAGTTAAAATGCGAAACAACTGGTACAACTGGTACTGGTTAACTGGTGGTTATTCGAGTGATGCAGCCAAAGGAACACTTTAGCGCACTACCTTCATTGATCAAATACACTTGCCTGAGATGACCCTTGTATTTATTTCCTCTTTCTTTATATTCATTTCGCATATTGAGATTTGGCCAATAAATTCTGTGTGGATAGATAGGGTCTTCCTCTTCTCGTAGCCTTACTCGGCGAACTGATAAACACAAACACTGTCAAATTAAATTGTAATGCACACGAATTTAACGTTAGAGGTTACTAATCCAGTCTAAAAACATCGATGGTTCAATGTATTTTTAACATCGATGTTCGCTAACATCAATGTTTTGTTATCGATATCGCATAACTACTCGGCAAGTGGTGATAGGGCAAACGTTTATTTTAATTATACACCTTTTAATATTTTTTCTACTCCCTCTGTATAATTCTGTCATTTGATGGCTGCAACCCGGTTGCGTAGTGATAGTCATTACGATTCAGATTTCATTATGAGAGCCCGGAGGGTTGGGAAAATGCCTATTTGGTATTGTTGTTATTTCATGACTTTTGACAATAGAAATCTCTTGATTGTGCTTCTGGAGTTGTTTTAATAATAAAACGGGATAGCGCACAATGTGCATAGTTTATTCTCTTTACTTTTGTGATGTAGAGAATATTGAAGATGTCAAAATGTTACACTTTCACTGTTCAATCACTTTCTGTTTGTCTCTATTGCCTTCACCTGTACACCGCGAGTTCCACCATTTGCTCTTTTTATTCCGTGCTGAGCCTGGAAACGGCGTTGTTTTTGTAGATTTTATTTTTGCCTATTGAAGCTTCTGATGCCTATTTTTGCCATTTTGCCTTATTTGTGCCTATTGCTTTTTACGCCATTATTGGGCCTTGTTTCCTCTCACCGTTCTCTATCAAGCTGGGTATCACCTGTAAGGCTGATACACCGTTATCAGTGCTGTGTCACAAGTGCGAAGGAAAATATTATTCCGTTTTGCCATTTCAAGATTCAAAAGGAAGTCCACAAAATCATTTCAAAAAGAGAGCGTCGCAAATTAAAAAAAAAATCGTAGCTGTAATGCCGTATGCTCATGTGGAATGGAGATTACCAAGAAAAGAGTTTCCTTACATGTTAATGTAAATTTAGTTAGAATAAAAATGTGAATTTTAATTATTATTTTTTTATAATAATTATTTTTAAATGTGATTTTTCAGTGTTTACGTTGCCATTTGCACCTCAACTTTAGCTAGAGGCTTAAATGCCTTTTTAGGTAAAATAAATGCCTGAACTTCCGGGCTCTAATTTTGTTACCGGTTCTTTCTTGACCAATCACAGAGAAGTTCACAAACCAAGTATTGACACTTCAAAACTCGTTCTAGTAAATGTTTCGTTCGATTATGTTCATTAAAATTGCATTTAATATTATATTATTCTTGTCAGTTTTAGTTTCATTTATCAATAGTATTTTTTTGCGTGAAATATTAGTTAAAATAAATTGGATCGTAATATCACTTAAATTCTATTTGACCAGCGGAGTGGCACCCTGAACCATCTGCGTTGAACAAGGAAGGGTAGGAAACAGTCCACTATGTGACTTTGACTGAATCCTGCATCTCTACTGACACGAAACAATTCAATGTAAAAGTTTGCACCAACTTTCTTAAATGAATTTTGTCTTCTGATAGCGTCAAGTTAACTTAAGAGATTGGTGCAGGTCTCATTTTCGTTGAAATCCAAATTTTTTTGAAAATTGCAACATTCACATTTTTATAGGAGTCTTCCTACATTATTGAAAACATATTTTTTCTTATTATGAAATTTCTTCTCCACAGTTAGTTCTTTCGTTAACTTCCTTGTAAGTAGAGAACGCAAGTACAGATGGCGCTTATGTCAGCGAACTTGGAAAATAGACTCGCTCAGGTCGCATTCGACTGCGGCGTTCAATACAGAGAGTTTGTGCAACCTCGTAAGTCAAAGCACTATCGATCTTCTGCGCATGAGCAGTTCACGTTTCGTACCACTAGTGTATCCGCGCATTCGCAGAAGAGAGATTGTGCACGCCATGGCGTCAGCACTAACTCCTTAATAGGGAGAAATTGGGATAGTGGTATGGATTAGGACTCTTCACAGAGGTTGGACTAGACCCTGAGAAGCAGCCAAACTCGTTTTGTAGGAACAAATTTCACATGAGATTGCCCGGGAATCGAACCCAAGTAATAGTTGTAGAGTTGGAAATTGTTGACGTTAACACCGAGTATAAGCGACATTGTTATTTTACCGAATAATTAAAAGAAGGTCGTCGTAGAATTAATCTAAAAGTTGTAGCGGATCCCAAGCGTGAGGAACAAACATAAATAATTATTATTAAATAATCCATTCGAAAGCGGTTTCAATATCACCCATACGTGGAGCCGAGGTATATGAAGTTCTATTAAATAAAGACGAGATTACCAATTATCCGCAAGCGAAATACATTTTTTGGAAATGTATTTTTCGCACAATATTGAGTAAAATATGTATAATATAATAAATATTAAAAACAAGAATACCAAAAGCAAGAATTTCTCGAAAATTGTTCCAATATTAACTTTTTTTATCGGTATCGCAAAAATGTCATTTTCATGTATTCTTTGTCTTTTAAAAAACTACAGAAATGTAATATGTTTGAAATATCTCTCACGCCTTTAATATTTACTTCATTAACTTTTGTAAATTAGTGAATTTGTAAGTAGATGTGCTTCAAATTATTTCAAATGAAGTTTCTCGTAAACTCAACAGTTTTCTGTGAAAAGGAACTTGTTCTCAAAATTGCCTACATTTAATTCCTTTACGCGTAAAGTACTATTCTGCAGGGCTAGAATTCTGACCGACCGCCACGGTACGGCGTTCCGGTCTTCAAGATTAATTATTAAATTTTATTATAAATATATTTTATGAACTGTTTCTATTAAATCAGTTAATTTGTGGCGCGTTATATTATAAATCAAGCACTGCTAATATGTATAAAAAAGATAGAAAAGCGTGATATTGAGGAATTAATGAGAATATTGAAGAATTGAAGAGAATGTGATTGAATTCGTTTCTAGAAACAAATCTTACCTTCAGTGATGTATTATCAGAAGAATGATCCGGGATTTTGTTTATAGACTGGCAGTTCTGTAAATTCTGAACAATTCTCCTGATAATATAAATTAACCAGACTGTCTAGGATACTAGACTTCAATTTATAGTGATAAGTAAGAATGGTCCGAACTCTTACAATTTTCGAAACTTTCGTAGAAAATGAAGTAAATTAATTTTGAGGAATAGTAAAGTTTTAGATAAATTTCAATGAATTTAGTGTTTCTCAAGCAACGGGAAAGCTGGAGTGTGGAAGAAGCTGTCTGTATGGAGGTCGAGCCCACCGAAAAAAAGAAAGAAAAAAAGAAGAAAAAAGAAAATCAAAGCGGCTGCGAGGCTGTTACGTAGTGCTGTGGCCAAAAGCTGTAGACACGGACCTCAAAATTAGGCAAGTGGTGGCAGAACGTACTCATCCGCTCGTATCGACCCGTTTAGCTCGCTCTGGTGGCAAGTTTGGTTCCTAGTGTACGAGTACGTGCAAGTGGTTCGCTCGATAGTCAACAGAGGCCTCTGCCAACCAAGGAAGCTCTTGTCTCTCCCTGTTCTCCGCTCTGTTTGTTGCTGAATGCTGCTCCGGTTGACGTCTGTTCCCCACGTCTGAAACCAATAAATATGGTGCAACAGCCAGCACAAACAAGCTTTCTGATTTGTATGTAACCTCTAAATTTCCTCACTTTAACCCGAATTACACGTCGCTCCTGGTCTGAATAGGTAAATGCTCCAAACGTTTTCACACCTAAGAAAATTGTCATTACAAAAACTCGGGTTCTGATGACGTCATCTTTTTTTCATTGGCGCACGAATGTTTAGCACATGTAGGTTATAGAAGTGTTTAGTTATAGGGACTTTTTTCCATTTTTTTTTTCTATTTTGAGGTAATTCTTTATGGGACCTTTGCCGAAATTGTATTTTGTTTCCTATTCGTATTTTGTTATTGAATGTTTCATGAATTTACAATGACACACTAAAATAAAGTTTGTATTGTACCATCAGTTCGAATGTCGAAATTTATTAAGTGAACTCTTATTGCTCAAACTCTCAAAATTACAAGGATCAGTGCCTTGTGGTACCACCCAAAATTAAAATATCAGTTTCAAATTCAAGGGGCTGCGACATCTATCATATCGATCAGGGAATTTCAATCTTGCCGAAAATTCTGGTAAGTTTAGTCGTTAGCGTTCTTCACAGAGAGATAGATAGTCGCACAGACTTTTGCCGTCTATCGATTTTTCCATATCTAGAACCCATGAAACGCGGGTCCTGAGTACTAAACTTTGTTTAATGTATAGGGACAAAATTTATGCACTTCTTCGTTACCTGGCGCCGCAATAAAGAGTTTTTCTGTCGAAAATTGGCTGTTTCCCCATCGTATCATCACAATCCTTTCTCTATACTGTGTAAGCAGTAGCGAGAAAGTTAAATTACCACTATTAATATTTACATTAACTGAAATAACAGCATTTTTTTCTTTCACCGTGGCACTTCTAAACAAAGAAGTGAATATTTTTTACACAGTCGATAACGCTGAGGAACAAATAACAACTTCTTTCTTACATTTTAGAGAATACCATATTTTGAGAAAATATCATTAAAGAATATTGAAATAATAGTGAACTGAATTTTTTTTTCAAACGTTAATTTTTAATTTAATGGTTAATTTTTGTTTAATGGGACAGTAATGTTTGAAACTGCTTATACGAAGTAGTACTGACAAGAGCACCCACCGCCTATTTAATACTACTACTTCAATACTACTAGACTATTTAATAAAGGGAAAAAATGAATTTTGAGAGACATATTACATCCAATGGCTTTTATTCGTTCTAACCTATTCATTCTTACGACGTCAGTAATTTTCTGCTCTATTGTTTGCACAGAAAATTAGTACAAACCTTGATAAAAGCTTCTTTTTGACAATCGCTCTACAAACAAATATCATTCCCGCTGCGGGGGGAAAACAAACCAACCAGCAAGCAAGCAAGCAAGCAAGCAAGCAAGCAAGCAAGCAAGCACACTTTCGTTTTCATCTGAGCCCGAGTTGCTGCGGGATCGGCTACCAGGGGACCAGGAGCCGTGAGGAGCTAAAGTGCCTCGGAGTAGGGGCTCTGCCGGCGTGCAGGTTTTGTCGCGGAATCCGCACGGCATCAGCGCGTTATCAACGACGACACTAAACAGGAGGCATCAACCAACCATTCTGGACTGCACGTTTTCTGTACGTTCAATCTCCACGAAAACTGTAACGTGTATACCGGCCTTTAGAGGGCACTGGTTTCGGTTACTGTTTCTTGAAGTTCTCTGTTTCTGCCGCTACAACTTCGTAACTATTAACGTTCTATTGCCCAAGGTAATTTTTCTGCACATAGTGCTCGCCCATTGTTGTTGCGTAGGAGCCCTCTGGCAGCATGTTTTTACAACTTTTAGTGATAACGAATTGTTGTGTTATAAATATTTACGTTCCAGAGCGCTCCAGAGCAAACCATTGGTTATAGGAGCTCTCTGTTCTATAAGAAGCAGCAAAACCGTTACGACTTAGCTTAATATGCCCGTCACCTTCGGTGCAGACCAACCAGTTTCTAAGGGGCAAAAATGAAGAATTTTTTAAAATTACCTTTTTGATTAATTAATTAATGTATATATTTTGTGTTAAATAAGTCAAGTTTCATTTTAATATGCCGTTCTGTAAGTTGTTGTTGTTGTTTTGTTTTTT